ACTTGATTTTGATGTAGGCAGACTATCTATCGAGTTTCTGTGTGACTATGCTTGGTTGATGAGGCATACTCGTATCCTTCAAGTATCACATAATCTAGCCTGGAGTTAATAAAGCTCTTATTCAAGATCTATTGATAGTTTCGAAATCTAAACATTATGAATATAGGATAAAGACTATTCTCTTTGTTGATGCTCTCTCCCCAGTTCATTTTGAACCGCCCAACTAGAGTAGTACAGAGTCCTCATCTCCATTCGGGTCTGGGCTTCCTAGACCCCTTGCATGAGACATCTTCTCTGTGGTGGCTAGGCCAGTCAACTTGGGACTTAGTCCTCAAGGCAGCAAAGCTGGCGCAACAGTCGCTTCACAACCGAGCCGTATTTATTTGACGAGCAAGCCAGCTGCACAAGATGTGAAAATTGTCGCGGAAGCAGCCAGACCAGCACCTACCCTTCTACAGAGCGGCAGACACAAAGTCAGTGAGATAGCCATAGAGACGGTCGACTTGGTAATGTCGAAACCCTACTTATAAACTAAAAATGAGTAATCTAGTCGACTGCCATGGCAAATACAACTTTGTTTCATCGGCAATCCAGCCACGGAATGTGTAATCGGCAAACCTGAAATCCACTTGAACCTGGACGAGAATACCTTTTGATAAAGCAAGGCTATGTGAAATGCCATCGTGAAATATACTTGTTTGCTTGATTGTCTGTATCTATTAATTTATTAGTTTTTTCTTTGTTTACTATGTATGTCTATATCTAGGTGTGCGTATAAATGTATGTATGTATGTGTATGCATAAATGTTTTTTCTTGCTTTCATTTTGTTTGCTAGTCTCTTTATACTAAAAAAAACTGAGCTTTGGAGAATTCCTAAGTGATTTAGAATGATTCGAATTTTCTCTTGGTTTAGTGTATTAGTGTATTTTTTCGTAAGGTATGGTTTCTGGCTTTCATAATGTCCGTCAGGTCAGAACAGACGAAAGTTCAACCCAGATCATCAGAGTCGCAGAACGATGAGCCGGTGACTTCTTCGCATAATCCAACAATCTTCTCGCCAAGGCAATCCTTCGGTTTCCGGTGAGACCATTTCAGGAGTTTCCTCAAACCAACTTTTTCCTCGCGATATAATATCGAGTCATGTTAGTATTTCGGTTTAATTATTTTTCGTTTATAAGCTATAGGAGATGCATTTTCCCTATTTTGCTTAAGGTGATGAAAGACTGGTAGTTGAATTTTCCTACGATGATATGAGTAGAGTTGAAGTTTCCATTGAATTTTACATAGCTATGCTTTCCCAAAAGTTGTTCTCATATAGAGAGGACTGCAGTTTCGACCTCGCATAGGTAGTCTCGAAGCTCTGCTTATAGACGAAAAGTAAGTAATGTAATCGATTGTTATATCAAATATAACTTTGCTTCATTGACACTCCCACCAAAGAATGTGATATGGGAAGATGCCTGACCTTCCTTGAAATTCACATCTGCCCTGTGACCCAAAGGCACTGGTGACAATGTGGCGGAGTGGTTAACGTGTTGAGATTGCATACTGCACTTTCATGGTTCGACTCCCGCTGGGGGTGTTGATGAGACCCAAGTGAGGTGGAAACTGTAAACCATCCTGGATAAGAAAGGTTTAGGGAAAGCAAGGCTGTGTAAAATTCAATCTAAACATATGATTGTGGGAAAATTCAACTACCAGTCCTTCATTACCTTTAACGATGTAGGGTGAATCCATCTCATATTTCGGTTTACTTGTTTGACTGCATGTGGTTAGTTTGCCTTACTTATTAATCTGTTCTACTGTTTGTTTATCTGTTGGCTTCTATATATGTCTATTCGTTTGTTGTTTGTTAATTAGTTCATTCGTTCATTTCTACTGGTGAGAGGTGAGATAGACACTATATAAAAGTTGCTCAGTTCTGTCAACCTCTTTTTCACCACTTGACCCAGCTCCATTTTTCCCTCATTCTAAACTATCCCTACTTTTCTTTATAAACTAGGAGCAGACTCAGGACCTGGGAGTACTCAACAAACTGGTTGAAGTGGTCGTCACCATCGCCTCCCTCAGGCCCAACTTCTGCTCCAGACTCGGGCCAGCCCAGTCAGCGAACCTGGAGGCTTGCCGCTTTATGCAGCCGACCGGAAGTAGCGACGAGTTGCTTAACGTCTTGGGCGTCTGCCTGGTTGATCTGAACCGTGTGACGTTGCCGCTGCATAAAGAAGCGAAGAGGGTAGTGGTACGACTCTACACAGCAGAAGTATTGGCGAGCCAGCCGAGCGGCCTTGTCGAGATTGGCGACCAACTGGAGGGTAGGATATTTTATCCTTCTATCAACTCTTGTCACTGTTGCATTGTACTTCTAGTCTCATGCTATGATGGAGAAATGATAGTTTACTTTTCCCACAATCAGCTTCACTTAGCCTTGCCTCCCAAGAGGCATTTTTATCTTGGCCGGACTGGACTGCAGTTTTGACCTTGCCTGAACTGGCCTCATCAGCACTTCCAGTGGGACTCGAGCTCGGGTTGTGGTGGTGCAGCGTATAATCTCGGTGTGTTGTCACATGTCGCACTGCCACGAGTAGTGGGAAAAGTCATCTATCACTCCTTTGTCACTTTATTTACTGACAGTTTCGAGTCTATTTTATGTGAATATTGTGTCACCACTGCCTGCCAAGTGCAGATGTACGGATTCGCTTCGGTTGCTATGGCTGCAGCATAGCCATAGGCCAATCAGACGGGCGCTAGCCGAGTTTCTATCCCCTCTGTTCTCTTTTTTTCCCAACACGCAGTCTTTTTGTTTTGACGCCATGACTCGGTGCGAACACCTCAATTGTGTCTGCAAATGGGCAATCTAACGAATTGGCTGGCCGATTTGCACTACTCGTGCACTACTCTTTGATGGAATGAGTCGTGTAGGTTGAGCTCGCCAAGGGAGGACTGCCGATTCGCCTCTGTCCGCCTCGAACGCAGCCCTCGAGCCAGCCTCATTCGGGCGCGGCGAAAACGTGCGGATCCTGCTTCTGTCATGTTGTCTGACATATGTCATCACTGTTGGACCCGATTCCTACTTTAACTCCGAATCCGGCTTCAGCTGGAACCCGCCCATGTCTTATGATGAGATCAACTTTCGCAAATCTCATCATCACACACACTTTCGTACAAAGGAAGAAAGATTTGTCAAAAAGCGAGCACTCGTCCCATTAGTCCGCTCGTCTCTGTCTAGACAATTCTAGGCCCCATACAGAATACTTCTATGAAAGGCTTGGGCTTATGGTTCCCTACTTTAGCTTCATTTGGTCTTCCCCGGGTCCCCTGCAATTGCGATTTCACCCATCATTCCAGCCTCCTTGGCTGTCTCGGCAGTGTTAAGTGCTAATGTTGCGGAAACTTTGATTTTGTATCAAAGTGCAGGATGAAGAGATTTATGCATCGGTTTTACCAGCTCATTTCTTCTGTCTAGCAACAGTTTAGATTCGATACGAGGCTAAGCTTGACGGGATCCACGGGACATCCTCTATTTTGGAAACAGGCTGGCCCTTTTTTCAGTCATGATTGACATCTTCAAAGCCGTAATTCATTCTTGTAAAAGCTTCAAGTCAAAAATATTATCCCGCTCTATCCTACTTGCTATATTTATACGAAGAAAATGCAGTTTTCTGAGAATCTCCTTATATAAGATCGCTGGAAAGACTCACATTTCGTAAGAAAGTACAGATTGAAGATGTCAGCTGATTCACGTTGTGCTGCAGCCGTTTGGCTTTAATACGAAGTTTAGGTTGATACAGTTCACGAGACATCCTCTAAGGTTTCAGGCGAAGACGACCGCAACTTCCGTTCATCATGCCACATGACGAACATTGTCAGAGTAGAGACTCATTCTTGCAGAGGCCTCAAGTTAGTTCTAAGTCAATAAGATTGACCGGCTTTTTTCTGTATCATATCTATATATTCATTGCGAGAAAAAATTAAGATATAGATTGGTATAGAAAGGTTTAGCTAATTCACGTATACTTGAGTGTGCCTGTGTTTGTATGTATGCTGTCTGCACGCAAAATCGGTCATAAAACGTAATGCAAAAAATGTAACGTCAACCCTGGATCATTAAGACTTAATGACCCGAGGTAAAAAAACATGATCGAGATTGCGTCAGTCCGTAATAATGTTATTGAATTGATGAGATGTAAGTCAGTTTACGAAACCACCAATCAGTCTAGGGTCAACTAGGTTAGACGACCAAGGGAAAGGTATGACTGGAATTGCGTAATCTCGTAGGTCAATTTTGGTTGATGAGCTTGGCACGTCTGTTGAACGAATGTGACTTTGGCTAGAACCAGCATGGAGCTGACAAGTTGAGTCGTCTTCTTTTGGATAGTAGGTCAACACCATCTCTCTTTCCTTCAATATATCAATCAAGCCTGGATAATTGTTACTCAACTTTATATCACGATTCTTCCTATTCATCCTATTTCCTAGTCTATTTATTTCAAAAGCCTCTTTTATTTGGCGTTTCATAGCAGACATGCCATATTCAACAAACCTCTGCGTCTGAGACCATTCTTTCTCATGTCCATTCTCTGCCATTTGTTCGGCCACTTTTGACCGTTGGACTCAGCTGCCTTTACAAGCATTCTTGCTCTCCGCTAATCTTTGGCGCTTCGGCTGATAGGTCTTGCTAACATGGGTTCGTCCATAGTAGCACACAATCTTGTAGCATCCGAATACTGATAAGAGATCAGATTTCTCTCTAAAAGAAGGCATAACCGAAGTGAGTACAAGAATTTCTTTAAAAACTGTTTTCATGCCCCAGTTCCTCACTAGTTCTGCTATCTTCTTAGAAAGGAAAAATGCTGGCAAGATTAGGACGTGAGAAAGGGTCTCAATTTGTCTATTTCTGACCAAATAGTCTTCGTCCGAAAATTTATTGCTTATTAATTAGATCTTATTATCAATTAAGCCCGTAGGATAATTATTCTTCAGGAATAAAACTTTCAGTCCTCTTAACTCTTCGGTCAGATAATTTTCATCCGCAAGCCTCGTACTCCTAACAAGCATAGATTTTTAATTACAACCTTTTTTTTTTACTATTGTTAGAAAGAAAATTAAAAACAAAATCAGCATCTGCCTAAATTACCATTTTCCCTAATAACCATAACATCCAAGAAAGATAATATCATATTTTCCTCTAATTCCACTGTGAATTTGATATTTATTTTACATTGGTTAAGTCAAAGTGGTAAACTATCTAAACTATCTTTACCATGCCGCCGGATCACAAAATACTCATCAATAATCATCTAACAAACAATTTAAGTCATAATTACTTCTTGCCTTAAGCGTTCCTCAAACTTTGCAGTTTAGTTATTTGCTAAAATCGAAATTAAGCAAGAACTATTTCAAGTTCTTGTGTCTGTTCATAAAACTTACCGCTATATTCAGCCAATTAAAACAAAAAAAACATTTATAGTCGGATATAGCATGATGTTATTAGTTCTCTTTAATAGTAATCGTGGTACTACTACTTTAGTGTCTGTGTTTCTGTATGCTTGTTCGTGTGCTCGTGTCAAACTCTGTAAGCCAGC